CGTAATGATGGTCATGTAGGGCTGTGTAGTACTCGCATATACGTCATGTATCCCTGGCACCTAGCAGAGATAAATTTTGAGTAAATGCAATAATCACATCAGAAAATAAAGGCGTCGCCCCAATTTCAAACAGGAGCTTGTCTCATTCATTACCGGCCATCACCCACTGTAAATTTACGACGCTACGTATACCCGCGAGGAAGAAACTAAGTGATAATATACAAAGCTCGGGTCATGGTTTATGTAGAACTGTTGCTCTATTGGGGTTATCTTGAGGAAGGACAGGCGGCTGAGGCGTGGAGCGAAAGGAGGAAGAGGTTATTCTTATTATGAGGTTAGATGGATAAATATTGTGGTAGATTAGATTAGATTAGATTAGATTAGATTAATATTATAGTCCTAACTGAGTCAATGACTATAGAGGACTCCTAGAATCTTTATATAAGATACTAGCTACATTATTTCCTTTCCAATTTTACTATTTTTAACTATTTTCTCATGGACAGTGAGGGTCAAGCTCTATAAATATTGTGGTAATACAGTATATATAAAGAAGAATAGGGAATGAATATCTTGGTGGTGAGCGAATGTACTTAGACTAATTGAGGATAAGTGGATATTTAAAGATCGATGCAAAGATCTACGTAAGGAGCATATGCGCCTTCTTATAAATATTTCCTATTTGCTCTGCCGCCAAACCTATTGAGTGTCTGATGTGCTCATGTATGGCGTATCGGAATTATTTGGTCTCTAAGCTCCTACTAATTAGCACGGCTCACATTTGGGCCATGCATTAATATGGGCTTGCATCAGTGCAGTCAGATAATATAATCACTGAGTCTTGTCTATGAAGCCCTTGCTTCATTGCGCTGCATAGGTTTGTAACGGAGGCCTCTGAAGAGCATGTTGGTACTAATATTTTTGAGGGGTTTTCAACTTTGGATCCTTTGTGGGCGCCAAGACCAAGATTTCGGCTAATTAGCCAGGAGGGCTTCTTTTGTCGATGAGTCAACGGCCCTCCCCAGCGCCCTGGACGGCACAAATGAAGCTACGCTAAGCTACCATATAGCAATCACTCTCTGTCAAGACTTTTCTGACATTTCAGCACGACCTTCGGGAAGGAGTTGGAAGGAGGCTAGAAAGGCAGAGGGTGAATTTCCCAAGGTACCCACAAGTCTGCAGCGCCCAGCTAGCCGGCCTCTTCGAACACTTCAGAAGGGTCACTATGTCTTCGGATTTAGTCCTAATGTTGGTATAAGAAGACCTCCGTACTCAGTAGATTTTGCGATTCTTCCCGGCTGCCATACACCCGCAAATGGACATCGTTTCGTTGGCTGGAGAGGGGAGATAATGAAGAGCAAAGGGCTCCTCTTAGTGCATGAACGAATGAGGACTTGTGAGGTGTGGTACTGTTTGAGAGGAGCTATATGGGAGGCATAGGAGGGAATATACTACTGGCATATGTATCCATGGCCTGTAGGCAGAGAGGACCTGCATGTCCTACATAGTCATAGACTGAGAAAGGACAATCAAATCAAATTTTAAACGACCACACCTCTCGTCTAATCAGTCTCTGGCTTTGAGGTTGCCTCCACATACGCACCCACAAGAATAGGAATATACTTTGGATTAAACAAATTGTGGTTCACAAATCTAGGAGACAAGCTTTTTTTGAGATGGACGTGAGATGGACCAAGACAAGTGGACAAGATGATGCAAACAGTGGATACAGTCTTGGAAATGAGGCTTCATATTGAGCATTTTGCACTACAAAACATCGATGGTGAAAGCGTATGTGACACTATAAGCACCGCCAATGGTGCGCGGTGCCGTGATACATTGTGCTGGACTCCCAAGTAGGTTCTGGATAGCCAGGACACCTGTCTCACTTGAGATAGGAGATGGTTGGTTTGCATTCATCGGGATAGAATCACATTTCTCGCGGCGCTTGTATACATGGAGTACAAAGGCATACTTTGATAATCAAAGGTTTTGAAATTATCTTTGGTGGGTACTTGCAGATGAGGGTCGACTGTTTGTACAAGCAAACATACCTCAGATGTACTTGCGAATAAAATCTAGTGTACAAATATATCTATTTCCAACAGATACGTCTGACAAGTATACAAGACACTGTGTGTATGTTGTGACTAGATGGCTGCAAACACAGTAAATGATTACAAAAAGCGATTTTTGGCGTCAGCTAAGCGAGACAAATTGTTAGATGCAGGGCCCGTGCCTGGCACGTTAAAAATATCAAGTCAAATCTTCGTTTTCCATTTGTCAAATTAAGAACACCAAGGGTCATGCATGAAGATTGGGCGTCCATGAACGGCGAGTTGTCAAGCCCATACATCCTTGTTGAGTCTTAAGCTAATGGGCGAGGCTGGGTGCCAAGGCTGGAATGATATCTTATCTCGATCAATGCTTTGCCTCGACCTACGATTGTGGATCACGAGGAAAGAGGCTAAACTTACGTATAAGCAGCCTTGATGGATTCCGCTGGTCGACCAATGCACGCGCCTTAGCGGAGAAGATATTTCTCCGCAGCCAATACCATTGCCGGTAGCAGAGCCCCCAGACTCAGTGACCTCAGAAGAGTCTGGAAAAAACACCTCTAAATGGCCTTCGTCGTCTGTCCAAAGAGAAGAGATATGAGTGGAATAGCGCCTGCATCAACTGTGCTGAGTTGGATATAATAATCGAATCCCACCGCTCATTTGAAGCCACAAAAGATGCATACCGAATCCTGTATTACTGGTAGAGAGGACCGACATGTTTTGATGCGATTATTAGATATGGAATATGGGGGCTGACGCTATGTCATCCCCGAAGTCTGTGTGATTGGTTAGTAAGCAGCATACTCTAATCGAATGAGCTAGTAAACCGAAAGCACTAAGACTCTACTTGCATGTATTGCAGTACAATATGCAAGGAGAGAGCGGGCTGAACATGATTAGCGAGAACTCATGTGTCACTCCCATTGGTAGTTGCCCATATTCGCTTGACAAAGAGGTTATTCTTCTTGCACTGTCCGAGGGAATGCCATGGGATACGGAAGGACGAGTAATTGGAACCCGCTCGCCTGTCCAAGTCGCGTTGGTTAAGGTCGTCTAACCAAATGCTAGCTCTGGCACTAGCCGCCGACTGAAGACCCTGCTTAGCGAGGATTAGATGGCCAGGCAGACATCATAGTATTTTCCTCAGGCGCAGAGATAAGGCTACCATCACATGCAACACCTAGACGCTGCTAATTCGGGCGTCACTAGACATTTCTTTTTTAGGGTAAAACCGCAGGTCTATCTTTTTAATGGCGATGGTTGTTGCAATCTATTTGTTCCATTTGAGTACAAGCCACCCATTTTCGTCGCTGAGGGCAAGCAGAAAGCACGAAATCCGCTTCTCAGGAGCGATGTTTGGAATAATTGTTTCTAAGCCAACTGTCAGAAATCACTCGGAACAATGATCCCTTCCAGCCTTTCGTGGATAGTAAATATTTTTACAGACACCTCCTGACCACCAGGCTAAATGTGAAATTTAATGAGTTCACGCGTAGGTACGAGGTCTAAGATGCAGGAAGGACGGTCTGGCAACTTGACATTACTTACGGGGACATGCTAAGCAGAACGATATACAACGACGGCCGCGTGCATCGTCCAGGCGAGGCTCGAATAAAGGAGGTGGAATACTGATTCCCTCGACGCAATCCTTCAATGGTATGCGCCAAAGGCCCCAACATTACTGTCGACCGAGCAGGCTGGTGACAGGCAGTTTTACTTGCACTATGGAACTTTTCTATTTCTATACCCCACTCGCTAACAGCGCTGCGACCGTAAGAACAAACGGAAATACTCTGACGCATGTGCCAGCCGCTCAACTACACTCAACACAACAAGGTGCCCATGATGCAGAATATCAGGGGGACCATGTACTTCTTCGCTCTCCAAACCTGTGGCTGCTACGTATTATCACGTTCTCCCCTCTAAGGTTCACGAGGATAAGGTCGAATCTGCAAAAGCATGCGGAAGGAGGAAAAAGGAAACTGCAGTAGCCGACCCCGAGAGTGTTTGATAGGGTTGGTAAACTACGTAGCCCTAATGTTTGCATTCTGCCTTCGGGCACCAAACCCGTTGCCACATATCAGGGCCCAACACGAAATGAAAAAGTGAAACTTGGAACAGTAATGACAGTAAGGTATCCTAAACTATGCTTCCCATTGTTAATGAATCTTAACTGTAGATCTCGTGTCAATTACAAAATTTGCATTTATGGACTCACATAAAAAGAGTCACACGTACACAGTAATGTATATCTAAATTGAAAGGGAATATTTGTCTACACACCAGTACTATTAAATTTGTCGATAGCCCTTGGGAGGGTGATTGGAATATTCGCATTAGTCTGCGTCCTTGATTCTTAAAACCGAACCTGCTACCATTAACTTTAGACTGGACCACCATTACTAGTGGGGGTTCGGAAATATCTACAGGTGCCGTAAGCAATCAAAGTAATTGCCCCCCACCCCTACAAATAAAAAAAAGTCTCACCCGAGAAAAAAATTCACATCATTCTCCTCCTTGTCCTGTCCTCCATTTAAAACTTGTCAATGACCTCCCACGTATCGATTACTGTTCCTAACGTCGGTCTATCTAACTGACTCTTTGGGACCATTCTGATCATTAACTACCCAGATCTCCAGTATGTTTAAATTTGCATTTCCCCGCTCTCCATATCTCGTCTACCCAGCTCCACGAATACGGAAGGAATCTCCCCGTCCGTTCTTATAGATAACACTCGCAATAAATAAGAATGTGCAGCTAACTAAAATGTGATAAGCACTATCAATCATCGGCCATTAAGTGTGAACCCCTCAAGAGGTAACGGCGTCCAGTCCTCGACCAAACAAAGTCTCTTGGGTTTTAATTACTTCCAGGCCTGACCCTCTTCAAAATTGATAAAACAAAGGAAATCAAATCTTTAGAAAACGCTCACTGGTAGTTATGTCAGATCGTGGTAGTTCATCCAGGGGCTATCGAGGTGGAAATAGAGGCGGTCCTCCAGGTAATCCACGCGGAGGCTCTACGCGTGGAGCTCGAGGTGGTGGCTACGGAGGTCATTCTGGAGGTGGATATGGGGAAGGAGGCGGAAGAGGTGGATACGGAGGGGGATATGGAGATGGTGGAAACCGTGGTGGCTATGGCGATGGTGGAAATCGTGGTGGCTATGGCGATGGTGGAAACCGTGGTGGCTACGGAGATGGAGGTAACCGCGGTGGCTACGGAGATGGAGGGAATCGTGGCGGCTACGGAGGAGGTGGTCGAAAAGAAGTTCGGGTTTTCAGGTAAGTTTGCCCAATATTCCCAACAAAAATATTAACACTTCAGCGATCCAAACGCTCCTCTGACGGCTCCGGATCCGCAACACAAAAAATTGGAAGATGCCTTTATGGCCAATGCCAAAAGCATTGCTGGAAAATTGGCAACGGTTTCATTAGACTCGACATTACCGCTTCGTCCAGGTTATGGATCCCAAGGTCGGCCCATAAGTGTCTATGCCAACTATTTCAAAGTTGACGTTCCGAAAAACCTCACACTTGCTCGCTACAACATCTCAGTTTCGCCTGAAGCAAAGGGTAAAAAAATGGCACGTGTTGTAGGCCTTCTTCTCGAGATGCCCGAATTCATTCACGCATCGACCCGGTTCGCTACCGATTTCAAGTCGTTCCTCGTCGCTTCTCAACCTCTCACAAATATGCCAGAGCAATGGAATATAAAATACAGTTCGGAAGGCGGCAATGAGCCTGGAGAAAATTCTAAAGTATTTGCCGTAAAGCTCCAGGAACCAGCTTTTTTTTCTGTCTCCGATTTTGTCAAATACCTCTCGAGCACCAATGTCAAAGATACCTTCAATCAAGAAGAACAGAAATCGATCATTCAGTCCCTGAACGTCGTTTTTGGGCATCATCCTCAGTCCATGTCAGGCGTGACCACTATTTCAGGGAACAAGCATTTTTCATTGTCACGTGGACCAAACAACATCAACATAAAGCCCCTTGGTGATGGTCTTGAAGCATATCGCGGCTTTGTCAGGAGCTCCCGTGCAGTGACCGGTGGACTCTTACTGAATGTAAACGTAACCCACGCCGTCTTTTTTGAAACAACCAATCTAGCCGCACTCTACCGGAAGATGGGCACTCAGAATCGGGTAAATTTGAAAGATAAGCTAAAGGGTATGCGGATTCAAGTGACACATTTCCCTCCTAAACTAAGTAAGGTAACGGGCAAGCCAATCCCAAGAGTACGGACTATCCAAGGACTTGCCAACACTTCGGATGGTGCCAACGAAGAGCACAAACCAGAGGTTCTAGGTTTTGGCGCTGGCCCTCAAAAAGTTAAGTTTTGGATTTCTGAAAGCCCACCGACGGAGACTCCTGTGAAAGGGGCTAAAAAAAACTTGCTACCTTCCAACACATACATTAGTGTATATGACTATTTTAAAAAAAGTAACCTCTTTAGGACATCACGATTTGGCGCATTCTAACGTGTTCCAGAGTATCCATCAATTGAACTTGATCCAATTAATCCTGTTGTCAATGTCGGAAATAGCGAGCATCCTAGCTATCTACCTGCCGAAGTCTGCCAAGTGTTGCCAGGGAACAAGGTAAACCGTCGGCTTAGTCCCAAACAAACGCAAGAAATGATCAAAATGGCCTGCCGAACTCCATATGAAAATGCCGAATCACTAGTCGGAGACGGTAAGTCTATTTTGGGTCTCAACCCTTCAGACAATTCAACTGCCGTAAGTTTACCTCCAAGTAATCAAGCTGTATCTAATGATCCACAGTCTCAATTTGGTCTGAACATAAGTAAGAGTCTGCTTGTTGTTAATGCCAGGATGCTACCTGCACCCCCCATAAACTATAAAGCAGCTCGTGTAAATGTTTTAAATGGCAGCTGGAACATGGCCAGACAAAAGTTTCATACCAACGCTCAACTTGGTGTTTGGTCATTCGTTCTTTTCAAACCTCCCCCATCGAATTCCGGACCTAGGTTAGAGGAAGATAAAATCAGAAAATCAGTACTTGGCTTTAGGGATTTTCTTGAAGGTAATGGTATTAATGCCAAGGGATTGGTCCCAGGAGGTGTAGTCGTGGACCTCGTCGGAGGTGAGAATGCTACTCAGGTTAATACTGAGACCATTGGCCTACTATTCAAACGAATGTGCGAGAGCAAAAACAAGCCCAAATTTCTCTTGTGTGTCATTGTCGCCGATGATCCTGGAATTTACAATATCATCAAGACAGTTGGAGATACCAAGGCTGGAATTCACACCGTCTGTGTTATTGGTAGCAAGTTTACGAAAGAAAAGGGCCAAGGTCAATACTTTGCTAATATTGCATTGAAGTTCAACCTCAAAGCTGGAGGGATCAACCACACTATAGACCCTACAAAATTAGGAATCATCAGTGAGGGTGAAACAATGGTTGTAGGCTTGGACGTTACTCACCCGTCTCCCGGATCAAAGCTTGGCACACCAAGTTCAGTTGCAATGGTTGCAAGCGTTGACAAAGTTTTGGCTCAATGGCCAGCCGACTTTAGGATCCAAATGGGTCGCCAAGAAATGGTCAGCGATGTCGAGGGCCTCTTCTTGGGACGCCTCAAACTCTGGTATCAGTTCAACCGCAAATATCCAAAGAATATCGTATTGTATCGTGATGGCGTGTCAGAGGGACAATATGATATTGTTCTCAATGATGAATTGCCTGGAATCCGAAAGGCTTGCAGGCAACTTTATTCACCGGAAGAAACAAAACAAGGATTACCTCGGTTGTCAATCATTATTTGCGGGAAGCGGCATCACACTAGGTTTTTCCCGACGACAATGGCTGGGACCGATAGGGCTTCTAACTGTCATCCCGGAACTATCGTTGATCGTGGCGTGACTCTAGATCGTACTTGGGACTTTTTCTTGCAGCCGCATAGCTGCATTCAGGGTACTGCTCGTCCGTGTCACTACTTTGTTATTTTGGACGAGATCTTTCGAAGTCGGGATGCCAAGCCTCCACTTCAAAATGTTGCGGATTGCCTCGAAGATTTGACCCATAACATGTGTCATCTGTTCCAGCGTGCTACCAAGGCAGTTAGCTTATGCCCTCCTGCATACTATGCCGATCTACTCTGTACAAGATTGAGATGCTATCAGTCTGACCAGTACGATCCTTCAGAAGATGGCACCGCGGATAATAGCCAGGCATCTCAAATGGCAGCGCCTTTGATTCATAGTCAGCTCAAAGATTCGATGTACTATATTTGAATTAGCAAGTAAAGGACTTCTATTTGGGATGAGACTAGTATTTTTTGCCTGAATAGTTAAAAGATGAAATAACTATGGATAACGACATTTCCTTCTAACTCAAACAAGTCAACGCCTCATGAGTGGCTGCAATATAATTTAGGGCTGGGGTGGTATAATTGAATATTTACTCTTTGAAGCAAGTAGATCTAAAAAGCGCAGCTCTATGAAGCTATTCTGTTCATAGATATACAGTCATTCTATTCCTAGGGTGTGTTTATATGGGCTAAAATTCATTAATCTATTCCATCTAAGTTCGTGGCTTCTCAGTAAATCAGCGTAACTATCCAGTGTCATTCTCATTAGTACAAACGATCTAGTAAGGAAATAATGACCCCTTAGTCATTGAGGTTGTAGAGCGCATTGATTCAAGTAATTATCGAAGTGAAACCAAGTACAGAATTTGTAGTCACGTGTGTATCAACAACCTGGCCTCCTTGATAGCCCCAATTATTCTAAATTCTAACAAGATCAATCTATTTCTACTTGGGCCTCTCATTACATTGCCCGTAGTTCATAGATCAGAAAAGGTAACGAAGGGTTTTAAAATATTCACATGTACTTGTCACGAACATATTCAGCTGATAAAACTTTTTAATCTAACTCGGAAACTTTTGCTTGAATTTAGAAGAATATTGGATTGCTTAGCCTACGCGAATAAATCATGGCTTGTATTAGTATTTTCGTGAATAGTTTCAGCAGATTGATAGACCGGACTTACCGTGTAACAGTTTAGATCGTTTCGGTGACATACGGTCAATATCTAGTCCTCCAAAGTAGCCGTACTGGTGTTCAATCATGAATGACTATTTCCCTTACTATTAACTATTGAATTACTGCACGTCTAACTACAAATATCCAGGATAACGTTCAATACGTTTATTTTGTTGCCCACAAGGTTACTCGAGAGTATCTCACATAGACTGGCGTACGGAATGCCCCTAGTTTGGCAATCAATATCTTAATCTCATTCAGTTGTCTCTATAACTGTAGTTAGTTTTGGGGAGTAGACCCTTATAATAAACATGTCAAGAACACCGGCTCACTCGCTGGCTAGCGTCTTTTCGATTTTAAGTAATATTCGCTAGGTTGTTCGCTTCATTATGCGATTTATGATAAAAATCTCGCTTTCTTCTCACCCACGTACTGTTGGGACCGTTTCTGGGATAGCTTTTGCGCCATCAGCTTTCATCAATATCTAAGATTTATTCGTTGTGTGAGTGAAGGCCGAAATTTAATCAATACGAGCCGCAGCTAGGGTTCTAGAGTCAAGCATAGATTGGGGAGTCTCAAGGTTGTTGGCTAGGCGTATTGACGGACGCTTGTATTTGGTTTGCTTTCGTAAGCGCTTCCTGGCGACCATGACCGGAACCGATGATTTTGTTACAATGTAGTTGGAGAATGAGCCGAGTATTACTCTATGATATATTTAGTGGTTGCCTTTAACATACTAGGTCTCCATTTTCCTACCCTTTCAAGGCACTTCTACCTCGGCTGCCCAAGATGACTAGTGTAGGAGATATATAGTCAATAACTTCAGTGATGAGGTGTTTGGGACTCTTGCAATGGATGACTTCAATGACAACCTTTACTTGAAGCTTGGTCTTTCTTAATAGCTTACTCACTCTATCGGTAATGTCCTGGACGGCTTGGTATCTTTCTTGTTCCGCTCTATTCTTCTCTCGAGTCGATGAGCTAGATTCAGAATTATTAGTATTGTGAGAGGCATCTGCAAAGCTTCCACCACGACTTCTCGTGTGCGAGTGCCCTATCTTTGGAGAAGGAACAATTGGTTTTGTAGGACCGGTAAAAGGTGGAATCTGATCCTGCAACTTATCTTCTGTGCTACTTTCGTTGACCGTATTTCCTGTGTCTTCGTCGGCGCAGTAAATTGCTAAAAGAACATCCCCATCGCGAAGAACAGTCCCGATTGTCCATTCTAGAGCGTGCACAGCTTCTTCACTAAGGTCCGTAGCTACTAGATATTTTCGGACTCGGCGCTGATTGTTCCGAGCTTCCTGCTGTATCTTAGCAAAATCGCCACGATGTATAGAGCGAACACAACGGCTTGTAGATGGAGTAGATATAACTGCAGTTGTATTTATGGCAAGATTCTGGGCGCGTTTAATATCGGATATACCGGCTTCAGTTTCTGAGTCATGCGGCGAATCAATTCCAGAACCAACTTCGTCAAAACTCGTATTAGGGTGAACTTTTGGCTTCTCATTTACTTGCACTGCTGATTCTGATGGTTCTGTTACGATAATTTTGGGTTCAAAAAGCGAGCGAATCTTGTACTTTTCATGCAGATATTGAGAAGAAATACTTTGTTGCCCTATGACTAATGAATATGAGAGCTAGGATGGAAGTAGTGAGATCCTTACTTTTTTCTTCCGCTGTAGCCATCTGGCCGGGTATCATGAAATTTTTGTTAAAAAAATCAGCTCTTCGAGTTGTTAGACCAGCGTCACTTGCTGATCTACGTATTTCATTTCTACCTCGTGGTATGTCTTCATCCGAGCCCGAATCATCACTGGTCCCTCCATTTACTTCCTCGTCTAGTGCAGGGAAATCTTCAAATCTCGGTTTCCCCAAAATTGTTGCATCACTATGATTTCTTTTTCTCATAGAAAATGACGATAAGGACCCAGGGGATTTGATTAAATTGGCGTCAGAATTCCTCGTAAATAAGCTGCTCAAACTCTCATTAGTAAATGTAACATCAGCTCGGTCGAAAGGCTTTGGTGAAGGCAGTTTTTAAACATACCGATCGTGTGGACTAAAACTTCTTCCTACCCTTTTACTTTGAATATTGCCATGTATCCCAATATCCTTTAAACCAAGTAGATCGCCTAGTTCACCTCTCATCGCATCTGACATAACGCTTGGCATTGAAGTTATTTTCCTCGCTTGTTTATTCCTTTTAGGTAAAGAAGATCCACTTGTGTTGCTTGGCATATACCCAGAGAGCTCATATGCAGATTCTTTCTTTGTGTTTGAAGCAGTAGAGCAGCCAACTCGGGGTTCAAATGGTGTAGAATGATAGGAAACGTCTGAGGCTCTCCGTAAATCAGACTTCGGGGTAGTCGGTCGATAAATATTCGTACATTGGGATGAAGGAAATGGGGTAAATTTGGTCGAAGATGCATCAGAGGCGCTACGAGCTGATAAGTGGAAACTATTTGACTTTATGCCGTCTCGAGGGCCCCTTGTTGTGGGAGAGATATCAAACATACTCCTGAATGAGGGACTGTGAGTTCCTCTGTTATTAACATTGAGCAAATCATGGGTCTTTTGTGAATGAGGACTATCGCCGGCGTCAAGCATACTTCTAACTGGAGTTATCTGAGGGCTAAATTTCCTAGCTGAGCTGGTTCTGCTAGATCTCATAGGTGATACAGGCGGTATGCTGAAGTCAAGCATGCTGGGTACAGGTCGGAGAGATGACAGTGAGTTCTTCCTAGACCCTATATAGCTGGTTGAGGTTGAATTATGTGTTCCCTCGAGCATTGCCAATACCTCTCTCCGTTCTTCGTCTAATATCGACTCCAAAGACTTGGGTTTATTTTCCATCTTTTTAAATTTTTGATTTACACCACCTATTAAATAAATTTTGTCGTTGGAAAAGCTCCAGTCCCAAACTCTGGTAGTAAGAAGGCGATATTTTTCTAACTACCGATCACTATTGAGCTTCCGTATGGTTCGGACTAATTCAACATGTAGCATATTAATTATGTAGGTTGCTGGTTAATGCTATGTATATTTAAACCTCTGCTCGTAACCACTTACGGATGGCATTGTTATATCCGATCTGTCCCCGGTTTATGAATGTTATTAGATGTCACGTGGAGCTATCCGTAGTCGTTACTACTTATCGAAGATTTGTCGTATCACCAATTCCTGCAGCCCTGATATACTTTACAACAATATTCCTCCGACAGTAAATATCATTTTCAATTGCGAGCAAACGTTCATCGTTTTATTCCAATTGTGAGGTAAAAAAGTTGTTGATAATCTCCTCAGGGTCTATAATTGCGATGTAGGAATTTCAAAACACACGAAACTCCGTGACGAGCCAAAAAACGATAAGTCTGTACGTAATATTGAATCTACCTTAGTGTTTAACCTAAATTATTCCTTCAAGTCTTGACCACGCAGCACCCTGTAATGAAAATAACGAGCTACACGCCAACAGAACTCCACTCGTAAAAATTGGACTTAGGTTAGCCAACCTAATAATTTACTCAGATATTCAACATATACCACTACACATGTTTGACAGTGATAAGATTGAGCAAAACTGATCTAACAAAATTCTATTAACGGAAATCGGCATAGGTCAATCAAAATGGATGGATCGCGAACTGCATTCCGGATGAGGGACCCTCCTAAATTTGATTGTTCATATAGCAATATTTCTACATCAAAATTTGTTGTAATTCATACAAATCCTTACCTTTTTCTTCGGAAGTTGATGTTATTTCTAGCCGTGGTCCCAGTTTTGTGTAACAGCAATCTCTTGTCCCATGCTGAACTCCTACCCTCGACTATACTGATTATTTCGTCTGCAAACCTTTGAGCAAACATACCACGACCACTTCCACGGCTACTACGCTTGTTTATAGAGTCTAGAATCCACATTACTGCTTGACGCCTACGCTGTCTCTTTCCTAGTGGAACTGGTATTTGCAATGCAGCTCCTCCACCGGCAGCACCTCTCTCGGATCTGATTCGTAAGAGGGGCGCCACTGAATCAATTGCAAGGGTCAAATACCCCACAGGATCAAGTGGAAGGTGGTGCGTGGGTGGATGACCCGGAAGTAGAGGCTTAGCCGGATTGAGCGTCGGAGGGGGTGCCGTACGTAGGGAATTAAGTATGTAAGACATATTCTATTTTTGAAAACTTTATATTAGTATGAAGTAAAATTTGTCAACGTTTCTCTGGTGTAAGGGCAGAACCTGTGGAGAGATGAGAGGCCTACTCTTTGGGCAACACTTTTTTTACCATCTTTCATTAATAAATTCGTAACTTGAAGTATTATTGGATCGAATCTATATTTAAAATTTGCATCTTTAGGAATAGGTAGTTCTGGAAGGCCAAATTTGTGCCCTTCAACAGCTGGGTCGTGGGTAATAGTGCTGATAGAATATTCTGTATTTTCTCCATCTGAAACCCTTTGAAGCTCACTGAGGGCGAGTAAGTTGGCAAACGCTGTTGATGTGCCTGTATTTTGACTAGAATCTATAATTCCTTGGATAGCTTCAGACGTCGAGCTTCGGTCGGTGAGGAAGGTAGATGCAGCTGATAAATTTCCTGTCGAATCTTTAGTAGATATGAGACTTTTTTTACTTTCGCCAGGCCTTTTAATCTATTAAGCCTTCGTCAGAATAACATGACAGTCATATTTTTCCAGATTTAGTGTAAAGCCATTTAACCTACATCTTGGAAAGATGATGAATACTGAGTGTTAGGCCTAAACCTTCCAGCTTTCTTTTTCGTCCTTGCCAATTTTTCACTGCTATTCTGCTGAGGACCCTGATTCGACATGACTGTAGAAGCCATACCATCTAGATATTCATTACGACCTAAGCCTGCCACCCCGGTACCATAATATTTCCGTTTGGATGAGCGTGATTTCAGCAGAAGAGAGTAGGCCTCTGAGAATAAATTGGACCGTAACTGCATTACTGATAGGCTATCTCGATCATAGGATTGAATGATGTGAATGAGTTGAAAATAGACCAGGAACTAAATGAAAGAAGCCCAAGCCGGTAGGCTATATTTTAACGTTGATTACAAGCTTTAGTTTAGGAGGGTGATAGCATTCCGTTATTGTGTCCAATTATATCTGATATTAGGATAAGATTTGAAGTAAAAGAAATCGCATTGAGTATCCTTGCCAAAAATCGCTTCCGGGCACTTATGAAGTTGCCCCAATATTTTTTAATGTCGTGTCCGGGAATAAAATCAGAACAACTATCAGTGGCATCATCTAAAAACATACGGCTTTTGAATATTTGCTCAAAATAGTCATTCAATCACCAAATAAGTTAGAACCGAGAGATCTCTCTGAGATGGCAATCGCGAATAAATGCGGTAGCAATATTGGTCGAAAAACCTTACACGCAGAGATTTTGCAACCGCTCAAGTCATCTACTTCTACCATCATTAATCCATACACAAGCTATACATCTAGCCAAAATTCACTGAAGTTTGCATGACAAACATTGACATTCTCCACATGCTTGATTTCCTTAGGGAGATCTTTCCGAGCTAAACTAATATCGCGAGTCTCTACACGATCATCTTGCCACTTAACACTCTCCTCTGAGTCCCCAACCTCTTTCTAACCACATGTCAACTAGCCTCAATGACTGATGAAGGCGTCGCCCCAATTTCATACAGGAGCTTGCCTCATTCATTATCGGCTATCACCCACTACAAATTTACGACGCTACGTATACCCGCAAGGGGGAAATTAAGTGATAATATACAGACTCGGGTCATTATTAATGTGGGACTGTTGCTCTAATGGGGTTGCACAATTTGAGTAAGGATATGTCACTGGAATGTGGAACGAGAGAGAGAACAGATCTCTTGCGGGCTTGTTTTGACTGTCATATTTGATTGTTTTTGACTTTGGGCTGACAAGGCCAAGGTTTCGACAAATTAGACAGGACTTCTGTTGTCGATGAGTCAACGGCCCTCCCCAGCGCCCTGGACGGCACAAATGAAGCTACGCTAAGCTACCATATAGCAATCACGCTCTGTCAAGACTTTTCTGACATTTCAGCACGACCTTCGGGAAGGAGTTGGAAGGAGGCTAGAAAGGCAGAGGGTGAATTTCCCGAGGTACCCACAAGTCTGCAGCGCGCAGCTGGCCGGCCTCTTCGAACACTTCAGAAGGGTCACTATGTCTTCGGATTTAGTCCTAATGTTGGTATAAGAAGACCTCCGTACTCAGTAGATTTTGCGATTCTTCCCGGCTGCCATACACCCGCAAATGGACATCGTTTCGTTGGCTGGAGAGGGGAGATAATGAAGAGCAAAGGGCTCCTCTTAGTGCATGAACGAATGAGGACTTGTGAGGTGTGGTACTGTTTGAGAGGAGCTATATGGGAGGCATAGGAGGGAATATACTACTGGCATATGTATCCATGGCCTGTAGGCAGAGAGGACCTGCATGTCCTACCTGGTCATAGACTCAGACAGGAAAATAATATAATATAAATGAATAAATAAATAAATATAAGTTAGACTCAGCAGCGGAGGGCAACACTAAACACCTGTCCGCGGTGTTCCCTACGAAACTGGAAGTGAAATATTCTTCCAGAGCCAAGTTCAGTCAAATTTCCCAATATCAAAGAAGTTGGCCCACGAGACAATAGTTTAAAATAATCCACCATGTCCAAGTTTTACTCCCGACGAGATCGACACCTACATAAGTCGCATCAAGTATACAAGTACGACCTAGTACATCCTCATTCCAATGATCACACCTCTTGTCGACTTTCTCTGGCCTCAACTAGTCGCCAAATACACGCCCACGCCGATATTTACACCTGTCGAAGGAAGCAAAGCGTGGCGCACAAATCTGGATGACAGCCCTGTAAGGGTAGGCCTGAGAGAAATCTGGACGACTTTAAAAGATGATGCAGAGGATGGAAACAATCTTGATTGGCGCGAATTGTTTGAAAGTTTGACAAGAATTGTTAAGAATTGACTTTTGTGCGTGCCAGTCTTCGGTTGGGATGGTGTAACTAACACTATAATCACCGCCATGGTTGGATGGTGCGGTGGCACATTATCTAGTTCGGTCTCCAAAGTAGAGTCTGGATAGCTTAGACACAAATCCCACTCGAGACAGCTGATCGCTGTTTCAAATCCGGCATAACTTAACTATATTCTCGTGGCGCTGGTATGCATGGATGACGAAGGCATGCTTAGAAAACCAAAGGTTTTGAAACGCCCCTTTGGTGGGTGCTTACGGAGGAGGGTCGCCTGTTTGTGTATGCAAACATACCTCATAGTGGTATTTGTGAATGAAATTCAGAGCATGAGTGTCTCTAACCTCAAAAGAGTCGTCCATTATGTACACATAGCACCGTTCGTGTGTCATAGCTATATAGCTTTATACACATTATATGATTTTAAAAAAGTCTTGAAAGTGCCAAAAAACGATCACGTGATCACCTGGAGTAGGAATGGGAAGGAGTGCGGGGTGACATGGTGCCGGCGAACAAGAGAAGTGTTCAACGTTTTGATTTAAGGACCCCAAACTAATTGTGGCTCGGGCAAAGATCTTCTTAGTACGGAAAACTGAAAATCATGCGAGCCTACTGGTATGATAATAAACCTGTATGCATGATCACCCTCAAATCCTCATTAGGTACTGGGACTAACGCACATAGGGTGATGCTCGCCTACCACACGATAGCGGGCGTCAAGTCTCTGCCAAATACCTCGCTGCACTTGGAGTCATGTACCTCTGCCCATCATCTGAGGAGGAGGTTGCACAAATTGCGCGAGAGCGTCACTATTGTGAAAGTGACATAGTGACCATCTCACCGGAGAATCTAGGCACGAGCTATGAATCAAAATTAGACATTTTTTTTCACGAACATATTCATGAAGATGAGGAAATACGCTACATCTGTGATGGTAGAGGCTATTTTGACGTGCGAAATGAGTATGACAGTTGGTTACGTATCGCTTTGGATAAAAATGATTTGATTGTAAGTGACGCCTCTAGTATACTCCGAAATAACAGAGTCGATTAAGATCTATGAAAGGTGAATGATAAACAAACGGTAAATCTCATGCTAACGAGCGTTAATTTGTGAAAGATTCTTCCAGCTGGCATATACCACCGTTTTAGCACTGATGAAACAAATGTAATTTGTGACGCTGAACTTTCTGAAACTAGCTAACATTAGCTCTCAGTTTGTCAAAGCCATGCGACTATTTAAAAAGGATCCAAGTTGGACCCCGTTAAATAGAGACCCGGAAGTTGATTGTAACCCTTTTCGGTTGGAATACTTGAAATCCCTCCCAAAATCAATAGATTCTGACGCAGGTTAAAATATCGGTGGTCATCAACAACAACCAACAAAGACAATCATATCAAAAGGATATTAAGGAAATTGAATATATGTAGTATAATTTATGCTAACTAGATGAGTTAATGGGGGACGAAGACTCAACACCTGTCAGCGGTGTCCCCTACGAACCTCCAGCTCTTAGTGTAGAGTCTGTAGAGCCGAGATTGAGTCAAATCCATTCAACTTTAAGATAAGTTATCCCCCTCTCTTACAAAGATACCCTTGTTATAACTTCTCCGACGATCAAAACTATGATTGTGACGCTAGCAAAGAAAGATATCACGGTAGTTAGAGAATATCTCGTCATACCACAAAATTTGCTACCTACCAGCCTGAAAACAAAAGCCCACGGGAGAAAATTAAAGGACCCCTAAAACGCCAGTCTTTTGCACCCTTAGTGCAAATACATTAATATGTGTGAGCAGATGCATATCCGAGCATAGTCAGCTCTAGTCATACAGTCATATGACACATGATTAAAATAAAGCGTGAAAAAGCATTTTCTGATATTCAGCCAATGATATTACCAATAATTTTAAGAACCAAAAGAGGGGGGGAAGCCTTACTATAATTGTTGAAAACTTCGAAGTGTATATCACCAAACAAAGGAGATGTATTAGGCACATAAATAATGGGACTTGGGGAGCAATTGGAGTGTTAGTATCCAGAAGATCGGAAAAGATTTGGAATTAAAATTTTGTTTGTTTTCGTTCTGTTTTTAGAAAATTTATCATAGCTCAATACTTGAATACCATATGAATTAAAAAACAATAATTATACATGAGGATTCCCAATCGCTTCCGCTGTCTGTATTTTATTCATTCCTCAACTAATCTCCCTATCACCATTTGAATTTGAATTCATTTAACCCGATTTGGCGCCCTGTGGGCCCATGCAGGTATTGTGATGTAACTGTCATGGTTGGTATGAGTGCACCCATGTCCGAAGTACAAGTGCTAGTATGCGATACAGGGATTAAATAGTCCCAGCACGACTTATTACGATCAGCGCTTAGAACTGAGATTTTTTTTTTTTAAATCATTTAATGTGTATGCAGCTATCTAGCTATGACACATGACCGGTGCTATGTATACATGTGGGATGACTCTTTTGACGTTAGAGACACTCATACTCTGGATTTCATTCGCAAATACCACCATGAGGTATGCTTGCTTACACAAACAGTCGACCCTCCTCCGTAAGTACCCACCAAAGGGACGTTTCAAAACCTTTGGTTATCCAAGCATGCCTTCGTCATCCATGCATACCAGCGCCACGAGAATATAGTTAAGTTATGCCGGATTTGAAACAGCGATCAGCTGTCTCGAGTGTGATATGTGTCCAAGCTATCCAGACTCTACTTGGCAGACTGGCCAAGACGATGTACCACTGCACCATCCAACCATGGCGATGTTTATAGTGTCGCCTGCACTCTCACAATCGAAGCCTTGGCGCGCACAAAGCTCAACTTGTAAAAACTCCTTGCCAAAAATCAAAATTCCACGCGCGTTGAGACAGTATCCATCCTTTGCATCATATTGTTAACTTGTCCTGATCCCTCTCACGTCCATCTCAAAGAACAGTCTCCCAGATTTGTGCGCCACGCTTTGCTTCCCCCGTCGGGTGTAAATATCGGCGTGGGCGTGTATCTGGCGACCAGCTAAGGCCAGAGAAAGTCGACAAGAGGTGTGATCATTGAAATGAGGATGTACTAGGTCGTACTCGTAGACTTGATGAGGCTTAGGTAGGATTCGATCTTTTTGGGAGTGAAAGATTGACGTGGTGGAGTAATTTGAATCATTGCCTCGAGGGCCAACTTGTTCGCTTTTGCGAAATTTGACTGAACTTGACTCTGGGAGAATATTTCACTCCCAGGTTCGTAGAGGACACCGCGTATAGGTGTTCAGTCTTGCCATCCTTAGAACTGAGTGTTACTAGTACAACGCAGTGCAAAATATGTTACTCCGGTTACGTGACAATGGGCTTTGTTATGGGTGTAGATAATGTACATATATATCAGTCCTATCTATGGGGCATAGACTATCATTGAATTATTATCTCTCAACTGGTCTGAAATTCTCAGTGTCCAATTATCTCTTTCTGCTCATTCACCGTTATCCCTAGCTTATACACTATTCTATATCTGCTCATAACCTAGTCACAACAGCATGCGACTATGAACCTATCTATATATTTACGTGAGGAAACTTTGCGGTAAAAGCCCCCTCCCCCTCTTAACTTTTATATTCATCTACAGTCCTTCGTTATCTAGAGGAAGTACAATTTGCCTCGAGTCCGAGACAGGACCAGCTAAAATTATATTGTACCTCGCCATCCTTTCATTGCCCTCGCGTGCTGAAAAGAGACGACTATGGTCTTGGACTTGACCCCGATGGTCCAAATACTTGTGGTGGGGGATTGACCAGGAGCTATTTGCGTGGGTGTCCTGGCCCTCTCTTTAGTACCTCTGGCTTTTGATGGGACACCAGTGTGAACCCTTTGTCGTCTGTAGATTTTGCCGTGGTTGGTATTGTAGATGCAGCTAGTGCGGTTTCTCCTTTCCTAAATTCTGCCGTTCTCTCCAAAATTCATACCGTGCCCGCTGAACACTGGCCTTTTATTCTGCGAAGTTTTAACACGCACCCTTCTGCCACAATTTATGGTCCTTGCCGCAGTTGCAGCAAAGCACCGACTTCCTAGGAAATTTCCTGGTCTGGTGAGTGCCCGCGCACTCACGATATCTCCTTGCTCTGTTGCAAGAGGCTTGAGTATGCCTCCATTGATAGCTGTTGAAACTGTTGGAAATGAAGACACGGAGTGTTGTGGAAGTATGGGCCCTCCACTTTGTCTAGGTTCCCGACACGATCTCGTGTGTATTTAAGAGGTTGGAATAGATAATATGGTAGCGCTTCAGGCTACCTATTGGAGATATGAGAGGCTGTATGGCGTGAGCGTAAGGAGGTTATTGGGGGTTTTCCATGCCTAGATGGCGCCACACTCGTTTATGCTGTGGCTTAGGCTACGTGTCGCTTAGACTTGTACTTGTAGCGCACACTTCCCACACTTCTAGCCTTAATTCGAACATGACACTCTTTTAGTCAAATTCAACTTTCGTTCAATAAATATTGCGCCCATTTAATTACGCGATACTTCCAACAGAAAAACTGCTTGATCAGTGCTCGGGGTGACCAGAACTGGGCTGTGTAAAGTATTGAGTTGTTTACAATGCCGTTTCTTATCACTTCGCGTTGAAGTGCCTCTGTCGACAAACTCGCGAGGATTGATCCTCGAGTATGACCGTTTCTTCCAATCCATCGGTGCTCCTTTCCGTCGAAGGACCATCTCAACCTGTTGATTTTTAGTTCGGGGATCCGAACTATTGTTTCAGCCACGATTTGATTTATAAATCGCCATTATTTAGATTTATTCCTCCTCTTACAAATGTCCCCAACGGGATCCCAAAAATCTCAACAGGGTAATCCTGTTTCAGGACACAGAACTCTTTTGGCTGCACCATACTCAAGGCAGCGTCTCGCTGGGAGACCGACTGTACAAACACCTCCGTATCATTGCTCCGCAACTTCCTTACTGCGTATGCTCCCTCAATGTGTATTTTTGCCTTGTCTAGGAGCTCTGCCGGCTCCATGTTTTCTGCTCCTTGTACTCTTATTCGTACTGCCGCTTTAGTCGCTGGCGGTGCGACGATTGAGGCGTATGTGGGTCGCCCTCTCATTCCTTGTATTGCCGAAGCAGCCGTCTTGCACGACGGCTCCTCGAGATTCTTCGTGACTGCCTTCTCTAAGGCCAGCATTCGTCCTTCCATTCGTGAAGCCTTCAGCCTCGATTGTAACATCGTAGCATGGGCTTTGAAGGCATCGAGTGCCTCACCTATTTCGACCATCGGTGTCGCAGATTTGTCAGTGCATGCTATTACCAGTCTGTCTCTGACCTTGTTTAAATAAAGCCCTACTATCTTTAATATATCCATATTGACGCCTGTAGAGATCACGAGAGGCTCTATAGCCTTGATTGCGGCAGTTCTACTGTCTGTTGGTGGTGGTTGTGGTGCCGTGAAAATTTTTTCAGCCGTGAAATCGATCTTTCTGGCTCTCCAACTCACCATGCCGAAGCGCAACGTGAAAAAATTGTGGAATCAGATAAGAAAGACTGATTGAGATGGTAACAATTATAAAAACGATGAAATAACATTCATGGAACGTGGTGCAGCTTTTGACCAAATGATGAAGTTTTTCCCCTATCACCATTATCATGAAGCTAGCTACGATCAGATCAGATGGTAGGGTCGAAGCCCTGATCATCACCAATACTTGATCATAGAGGAAAAGCCATCCGATTAGTTTTCGGAGCGCACCCAGCACACGATACGGTAACGGTGGATTGGATCAAGCTGGCCTCGACTGTTACAAAAAAGGGAGATATAGATGAATATGCGCACCTCATATGGTCCCGGTATCTAGGCCTCGCCTGGCTGGTGCTGCAGGTTTTTTGAGACCTTTTCCCGCGCACGCAGTTTCCATTGCTACTATTTTCATTTTTCTTGGGTAGAAAGTTCCGTGGAAAAGGTGGCTGAATTCCATGGGTAAACTCTGAGCTGGATGGCTGTAAATCAAGGGAATATATCAATAATCTTACAACAAAAGAGGCAAGGTGCACTAAACGGGGTGTGGCCTGGGCCAGAAAGAAGGCCAATGTACTAGATAATTTATGACTTAAGTAGTATAATAAACAAACACACATATAATGATGCTTGGTCCAACCTACCCACTCATCCACTGCTCTCAGAAGGGATGAGACAAACTAGTCATTGCCACAATGCATGACACAAAAGGGATCGAAGTAAGAAGGGTCGTTTCTCTGAGGAAAATTTTATGTACTTGAATTTAGGGTCAAAGGATGGAGTCTCGATTTCGGAGTAGGAGTAGATGGTGTCTTCTGAGTTTTAATTTACCTTCGACTTTT